CTCTCCCCCATCCCACTGCAGGGGGGAGGTTGAGCGAGAGGCTCTGTGGTGCTTGGTGGCCGACTGGGGTTAAACCACAACAACTTGTCACATATACAATACTTAGAGTTTAAATGGGGTATGTGTGTACATCTACTTGTGTGTCTAAATACTCTTTTGTTGTTCAGCTTTCACAGCAAATACCAGAACACTCTGGCTTGCCCCTGTCTAGACTTTGTTTAGAAATTATTAATACTGCAATGAAAATCACTACTTAATATATTCCTACCCTAAGGTTCAACTTGTCACAACATTGTCTTTAGTTTCTGCAAACGGCCTATTCTGTGTAGCCTAGATTCTAACATGGTAAAACTGCCTATTAATTTTTATCTTCTTTTCTTACAGTAAAAAATGGCATTTCAGAAGGCAGTGAAAGGAACTGTTCTCATTGGAGGAGGTGCCATAGCAACAGTTTTTGGCCTCTCTCAATTTTCTCAGTATAGAAACAAACACGTAAGTATTAATTATGATTTCTGATAAAATATGAAACTTAAAATCTGTTTGAGCGTATGTTAGGCTTATACGAATAGTTTTGTTTGGAAAGGAATGCCAAGAGCTTCTCAGCTTGATTTGGTAGGTGCTAATCTGGAGGATGGCATTAAACGATGTTTCACTATTGTAGGTCTTTAACCAGCGGGGAAGTGAGATTCCTGTAAATCATTTTTATGTTTAAAAAATGACCTTTGTGTACTACTAGGGATTCTACTTAGTTGCAGGAGGAGTGGGAAGTACTGGTTGAAGTATAAGCACTAAGTAGAGTTTGGACAGTATTTTCAAACTTAGAAGCTTGAAGTGAAACCAGTAAAACTACCTCTGAAAATCTCAGCTTCAAAACAGTTATGGTGGCAGCTCTTGTTCAGTTCAAAAAGCTGAAAACTGTTTTAGGATAGGATCTGTGCCAAAGAAATCAATGGCGAGGCCCCTGTTGTTTCTGGTGGGCACAACCTAGAGTGTGGTAAGCTTGAGGCACAGTTCAGTGCTGCCTTCCAGGTGACTAAGACACACAGACAGAATAAATTCCCTGAGCAATGAAGGATGATGTTGGAGACTTACTGTTAAAGTAGTGGTAGCAGAAAGAGATGCAGTAGGTTCCGGTGTCAGTTTGTGGATTGATTCTTGCTGTGGTAGAAAATAGATTTCATTGGTGTAGCTGCTTCTCACAGTAGAGTCAGTGTCACCTTGCTCTTTAACTTGCTTCTCGATGCAGAAGCCAAGGAGAAATCAATGAAAGGAACATGCGTTGGGGCCTGGTTTTAGGCAGAGCAGGTGTGGATCAACAAGTACTCTTTGTCTTAAAGCAAATAAGTGCCCGTTATTTTAATGCTGTGCTGTGCTTTAGAGTTAGAAAATAACCATGTCTGGGCTTCGTAGATGCGTATAAGGGAACATTTCTTCTGATCTTGTGTTACATGTGGGCACTGAGGCTGGCATCTCGCATTTGGCCAAAAATATTTGCAATCAGTGCAACAAGTTTATGGAACATTGCAAATATTTTTATAAACTACACCAGTCAGAGCTCTGGCCTGATTTGCTTCAATCTGCGTTTGGAAAAAGTTTAAGCCCAAGGAGCTACCTCCTCCTTCCTTTGAGATGGTATCAGTTTGAGCAGCTAGGTGAGCAGGTGCTCATTTCCCATTTCACCTTAGAAATGTAATCGGTCAGCTCTTTATCCAGGCAAGCTGTTACTCTGTGAGCTGCTTTAGTTACCACACATGTACTCTAAGTTGCCATTCAAATTGAGCAAACTGAAAACAGGAACGGAAGAAGTGGATCTTAATGGTCCAGCTGAAGGTAAAACAGTGGGTGACAGGAGACAGTTTTCACTTAGCTCCATGAAGGTGTGTATTATGTCTGAATAAATGATAATCTGAATCTTCTGGCTGTTTCTATGGGGAGGAGGAGGAGCAGCTGAGGTATCGGTAAAGCAAATGAGATGAGTCATTTCTGGGGAACCTAGCTGGAAAGTGGATAAGCCAGGATCCTTATGGCTTCAGAAAAAATATTGCAGAAAATAAGACCTAGCGTTTAAAGTGAGCTTCCCATTGGGCTGCCTGTCTTGCATCTAGCTGATAATATTGTTTCTAACTCTCTCTGGAGTCTTTATCACAGGATTTTACAATTTGGCTTCATTACTGACAGAAATGGCAGCTTCAAATTCTAGAACTGTTAAATAAGAAGAGTTGGAAGTGAAAAGTGATCTGGATAGCTCGCTTGTTGTATATGCAGTATTCCAGAATTCAGGGAATTCCCACTTTTCTGGGAATGGATGGCCATTATGAATTTCCAGAGACAGATTAAAAACCAAAGTTTTACAGAAGGTGATCATGATGTCAAAATGAAATAACCACTTGTCCCCCAATTTCTAAATATATTGCGTAGGATCAGTCTACAAAGGATCTGAAAATTTCTGGCATATGTGTAAGCAAATGGATCTGTCAAGTGAACAGCACGTTGTTTTCATGTTGTACTAACTTGCACATTTCCCACGTGATGTCCCTTAAAGCTGCTGTCTTAAACACCTAATATAGGGCAGCAGGTGGAACATAACTGGAGGGATTGACACAAAGGAGGACGGTCCATTTGTTGTGTTGACATATCTAAGCTGCGGGCATGTCCCCCAGCCCAAGTGTCCTCTTTCTAATAATGCCTGCCAATCAAATATATGCTAGGGCAAAGATCTTGTCTTCCTTGGCCAGGGAAGGATATTGCCCCAAGATGTGCACTAATTGGCTACACATTGTAGGAAATCTGTTGTTACTTCAAGAACAGAATCCGTCACATAATAAGACAGAAATAAAATGCTCAGGTTTTTTACCCATGTTCATATTGCCTCACTCAGTGACTGGATGTCTGTGCTGTGGCTAGCGTCCCGGAATTAGGGGTACCCAGTTACAGAATAAAGACCTCGGCTGGCTAATAATCCTGAACATACAGTCTAGTTGATCTATCTTTCTTTGTTTTCCGTGTTCACTCAGCTGGTGTTTGATGTTTTTGTGAAAGTTGGCTGTCCCAGGTTATTCCAAGGGAGAAGCTGAAGGGTGGTGAGCTTCTGGCCCTTGAGCATGGGTGGGAGGTCATTTGGACTCGATCTTGAAGGTCCTTTCCAACCTAAATGATTTTATGATTTTTTAGTCGAGCATACTAGTGAGTGGTTTGTCTACTAAAAGGGATTAGTATTGGCAATTTCTGATGTTGAAATTCAAATCATCATTGCTAGGTTTGAGGGTCAAAGCCTGACTGTGAGGAGAATGGCACAGTTAGCATGGTTAACCTTGTCTGCGAGTAAACAGCTGTAAAGTGTTTACACCCTGGAAATAAAACACTCCATTGATTCAGATCTGTCCTGGGTTTCAAGATTTTTATCCCAACTTATTTTTCTACACACACACACGTGTGCTGACATTTTGGAGCAGGTTTCTGCAGTAGCAATTGAGGCGATATAATCTGAGAATATGTGTCTGTATGGCATATGCAGGCATACAAGCAGTTTAGTAAATTGCCCTTATTGTGTGTTGCGTTTTTTGACAACACAGTTCCTG